AATGCCATGGAGCAAGCTCAAGGTAGTCGAAGTGTCGAACGTCAAGGTCAAACCCCACACTCAAGGTCAAACACCGCATTCAAGCTCATACTACGTGTACGACGTTCAAGGTTAGGTGACGTCATTCAAGTTCGTGTGACGTCTCAAGGTCAAAAGGGGTGGGGGGAGGCGTTCAGTCGGCATTAGCACCCTACTAATGTAGTCCATCACATTCTAAACACTTTAAAATGTTTTTTTGTACGCGACTTGTGGTTGCTTTTTCATCCCTCAATATCCAACTCCCGGTAAACATTACAAGCCTTCTAGCAAGGGAACACACACACACACACACAACTTCAAAAAGTTGGTTTTTAGAAAAATGATCTGAGAAATTATATGAGTGAAAAACATTTACCTACATATACAATAACATTACTGACTTTCTGAAAAAAAAAATTTTTACAGATGGTCTAACTGAGTTTGAAATAGTTACTTCCTGATGTTCTGAGAGAAGGATTGATAGATATATTTTCATATAGACTATTTCAAATTGAGGAGTATTTATGATCTTTTCATATAGCTATGCTCTTGACTTTAATCAACCTTAAAGGTAGATTCAAACATTATAAGAAATGATTTTGAAGTTAAATGCATGTTATGGAAATAAAGCATAACAGTTTGAGCATTTGTTCAAAAATTGGTAATGTCATTAGTGAGTTTCAAAAATCAATTTGATTTTTCAACACATTTTTGAATGAAATTCAGTCATTGTATCATTTTACCACTTCTTGCGATAGTTGAATTATACTTATGAGACGATATCCATCTTGAATATAAACTTTAAGATTCACAAGTGTTTGAATGTCAGACTGTCCATTTCACAATGTTTTTTGAGAAATTCAAACTTCATTTATAAATTTATAAGATAATCAGCAGATTTGTTGGGAGAGTTCTCCTTGAAATTGCTCCAGGCCATATACATTTTCTTATATACATTCTTATACTTGAAGTTCTCATTAGAAGCCAATTCAAACATTGAATGATATTTTTTTGTGTCAGGTTTCACAGATCCTGTTTGGTCACTGGAACTGATCACTGGAAAGGTATTCATACCTATAAGTTATGTTATGGGGGTTCCATGGAGTGAATGCGAGAGTGTTGGAACCTTGATTGGTATAAAAACCATGGTAAACGAGTTCGTTGCATTTGAACATATGGGCGAAATGCTGAAGCAAAATTTATTATCGGTAAGACTATTACACACTCATTTAATCAAGCGAGAGATTTGATACATGAATGTTTTTTGGAGAAAATCTTTCATGAATGTCTGCGAAATAATATGTTCACTCTCATTTATTCAAAAACTCATTTAGATATAAGTTTGCTACATTCATCTTGAGTGGAGAGAGATACAAAACTTACTGATACAGTTTTTTTTTCATTTTCACATGAAGATTTACAAAATCGTAATACGTGTCGCTTACTCGAGCTATTGTATCGATAAGTTTTGATATGGATTTTCTTAAATTAGTTCTATACAGAAAGATACAATATTGAATGCTGAAGACTTAACCCTGAAGAAAGAAGATGAATATTGTATATAAAATATGTATGATTGATAATTTCTTTATTTCAGTAATTCATGATCACTCTGAAGAAATGAATGGAAATACTTTTGTCGAATTACCATGGATTCCCAAAAATTCATATTCTTCCTTTCATTACATATGTGTAGGATTTTGATATTATCTTCATTTATATTGTGTTTTGATTCTTGAAGATGTTCGTACATTGAATTTTTTTTTCAAACAGACGTGTTCACGCAGCCTTATGTCAAAATTCCTACCGGTTTGGTCTGTATATACTGCAGAGCATTCGCCACACTCTATTTTATATATACCTGATTTTTTCATTCTATCTCGTTTGGGTTTTGCATTGAACAGAGTCCTGCCTGAATTATTATTACTTAGGAGAGCTGTTGTTATTTTGTATTCAGAGAAATAATTTTGAATCTTTTGTGAAAGTTCACCTGCGTAGTTGATGTTACTATACTTGACTATATTGTTTTCTCGGCAGTTTGGGAATAATGATATTATCTTTTCTATTAGGTGAATTGGTAACTGATTATTTACTGCAATTTGCTTAATTATTTTTAGTTCGTCTTGGAAATTCTTTTCAGGTGAAGGGATGGCGAAAGCTCTGGGTACCATCGACCTAAACCCTTTGATTCTTTCAGTTCACTCTCACATAAGTTATTCTTTACCTATTATCTGACTGAAAACCTCAATGTTGATCTTGGTAGGACTAGCCTATCATGATGAGGTTAAGCCAACTGCTCGTCCCCTTTTTAATAGGAATTCGAAAAACCTCGATAAAAGTGTCGTTTATTGTCTCTATAGCAAAGAGGTTCACTGCGGAAATAAAAATGTGCTAGCCCCCGTTTTTCCCAATTTTAAAGGCGGAAAAGTAAGCCTGAGAATTTTGAAAAACCAAGATCTGAAGTCCTTTGATATCTAACCAAAATGAAAAATACACGGTTTCATGCTTGTAATGTTAAAACTGACGGAAGTGTCTTGAAAGGGGTAGAATTTTAAAAAACCATTTCATATTCCTCACCTTGGTAAGGTGCATGAGTCTAATTTGAGTTGTCTAAGGATGGGCGTAGATGAGCTCAGCTGGAACACACTCCTATCTATTACATTCACCACCACCCCCAGCTCTGCAAGGGTTTTTTCATCTATCGCCATTATTCCAGAGGAATAGAGTGGTGAATGTGGAATTTGCGATACTCAAATTCTTGTTGTTTCCCTTCAGGTATGAATAATGACACCGCAACCATTCGAACTGATGAAAAGAATATATAACTTTCTGAAATATCATTGAAGTATTATAGCACGTTTGTTAATTTTGGATAAGTTTTCCATCTATTGACAACGAACTCATAAGAAGAACAATACTACAGAAACGTTAACTTTCGAAACTACCATTTCAGCCGATTTTCCCTCTTGTTTTACCTGCGTTTCATAATATCAATTCCAATAGAATTTTTTGTTTTCAGGGTCGGACTAAAGTTATTGCTACTTACGCTATATGCGGTTTTTCTAATCCAGGTTCCATTGGTATCATGATCTCAGGAATGGGAACTTTGGTACCGAATAAAAGAGAAGTCGTTACGAGACTGGTATTCAGAGCTTTCTTCGGAGGAGCATTGGTTTGTTTCATGACTGCATGTATAGCGGGTATTCTGATGCCCGAGGATGCTATTTAGTTTTCCCAGTTCCGATTACTTGTGATAATTAAAACATAAGTGGCTAGTACTTAAACGACTGAGATTGGCTTTCTGATTTCGATAACAGATTGCTCAATTTTTAATGAATATTAAAAAAAAACAACGTTGTTGATTTATCGACGAAGAACAAGTATATTTTGGTTTTCCATCACAAGCTTTCATTAAATTTCACCTTTCCCGGAGTCTGCAATTGAATCTTGTAAGTTTAATATGCCTTATCAGCACTCGATTGAACTGAAATTCACACACTATACTCTATCTATACAAGCAACAGAGTGCTCCAAAACATTATCATGCATCGTGTACATGATCTCCCAAACAAGGTGCAAGTCGCACTAAGAAACGACCGCTCTGGGTATAGGAAAATATTTCAGGTGGAGTGTTGGGACTCAAATTATCAGTTTCTTTAGCCGAATCAGTACTTGACATTTTGAAAATTTTAAACTTCGACCCTGTTGCGATATAACTGAATTAATTCCGCCAGCTGATTGCAGTTGAATCTGATTAGCCAGCGTGTTTATTTTACCCAATAGATTCAAATGTGTTTGATGATCACATGGTGATAACGCATCTATCATTGTTTTGGGTTACTTTGTTTATTGGATGGAAAGAGTTCAGTGCCATACCCACTAGCCAAGTTTTCGTAACAATGCAATTCACAGTCAAAACAAGTTCAGGGATAGTTTCGTGGTGATCCAACAAATGTTGAATGTATCGCAATAAAACAATAATGACGAATTAGAAATGAACAGACTGCGAAACACAACAGGAAAAATAATCAATATCAAAAAGCATTTTCGAAAAGAAACTGCCAGTCACATGTTCCAGAAAGAAGAAAATGAGGTTTGTTCTGATATGTAATGAAGAATCTGTAGAAGGAATCGGTGGCAATCACTTGGCACCACTCTGAATGCTGACGATACACTTTGCAATCCATTAGACTAGATAATGATAAACTCAAATGATACAATTTTTGGTATTCATATATATTTGATTTTTTTCTGGGAATTATTACTTATTGAGTTATAATTTAAGGTATATTTTTCCACCTGAAATAACATTCAAGAGGCATATTTCTTAAAAAATGTGTGTAATGTGAAAGATATTGTGCTTTGTCATTCTATATTTTGAATATTCCATAATCTGGAAAGTAAATGAATTTGTAATAAATTGTAATATGAGTAGAAGTTGTGATTTCAATTTTTGTTTCATCAACTCACTTGTAAATATTCATCTACGACGATTGAGTTTAATCGAATGTACCTGAACAAGGAAAAAAATTAAGTCGTTAGGATATTCTTCTTATTTTAGGCTCAGTTTTAGGTATTCAATAACCTCATGTGTAATTCAGAATTATAATACGCTAGAAAGCAGCCGGTTGATTTTTTAGTTTTCGTGTTCACGTTCTAAATATCTCCTAAAAATCAAGGGGACTATTATGCAAAATCGAAATGCTATGACAAACCTACATCATACACACATAACTGAAATTGAGACTATCGAAAAATGTGTATATCCAATCATTCACGATATTCAGGAAAGACTATTGAAATAAATTCAGTTCCATAACGGGAAATTAATTTTTTTTTATCAAAATAGCACGGAAATATCATATCATATCGATTATGAATATCATGTGACAAGTACAAATTGAAATACAATCCAAAATGATCAATTTTGTTGATGTTTCGCAAAACAAACTTTTTCGATAGGCTGTGATATTGGGAATTATCATGATTTTGAGTGAGCGTGGTATAATCATGATGAGCTCTTGTTTTACATTCAGTATTCTTCTGTTGTAATTTTCAGCGAAACCCATAAGATACTACAATGGTAATTTACCGCTGAATACATGGCTGACAGGAACTAGTAATATATCTTGCGTTTTCACATCAAAACCCCATCCTATCGGTAGTAATGAATTTGTGTGATTTTGTCCGAATGATACCATCGTTTATATTATAGTGGTTACATTCAGTATTCCGTTGTTGTAAATTTCAGCGAAACCCATGAGATATTTCAATGGTAATTTACCGCTAAATATATAGCTGACGGAATCTAATATATCTTGCTTCTTCATATCAAATCCCCATCCTTTTGGTAGTAATGAATTTCCGTGCTTTTGTCCGAATGATACTATCGTTCTCATTGTAGTAGTTATGCCGGGTTTTGAAACTACAGCCACTTGCTCACCATCCATTTCTTAGCAAATTCCATCAAATATAAAGGAGAGGGCATTATTGGATAGGTATTTGCTACCTCATACATAGTAATGTTCCCTCCTTGGATTGATAGAAACTTGCTGTCACCTTGGATTTCACCGAATACACATTACTTATTCGAATACTTCAGGTGATCTAACTGAGTGTGGAAGCATGCACTCCAAGTACATAAAGTAATTATCAACAACGGAGGGGAGTTAAACGTACGCTTTCTATAGTCCTCAAGGCCATGTAATGAGAAGTCGAACAACAAGGATATATGACGCACACATAGCTCAAGGTTAAGTGTATGTTGTGAAAACGAAGGTTAGGTAAAGGATTTGATCTTGAATGACCTTAATGATGATCAAAGTTGAATAAAACGTGTGACTCATGACTCATGACCTCATGGCCTCTCAAGGTTATTTGACACAGTTCAAGGTCAAAGATTAAGTCATCCAAATGTTACCTAGTCAAGGTAGTGAGTGGGGGAGGACTTAGGATCGGTATAAATCAACTACTGTAACTTCTACAAGACGATGGAATGAAGAATTTTGATGAATCAATGAAAAATTATTATTATATTCTACAAAACTTTTGAGTTTCAAGGGGGAATTACTCGAGAGTGGAATCCCTAGTTTTTTGGCTGCCCTCACACAAGAATCATTCTAGGTAGTCAAAAATGTGAAAATATACACGGTACTTCCATAATATTTCCAGTACTTCCAGTAAGTATTGGAAAAACGCCATCATTTTCATTCAACGAAGCATATTAGAAAATATATATATATATATATATATATACCCATTTATATATTTTGGTTGTATACACAAAGTGGATGATAAAATGAAACGAAGCGAATCAAAATTGCAACATTTATTGAAGTGTATGTGGAAAGAGTACAAGCAACAGAGAACAGTACAATTCCAAATTGAAACCAAAACCTACGTGTTCATCTTCATTGGTTTCCCGTCGGAAAATGATCCAACATTCTCATGCTTCGGAATTATATCCCATAGTTCTCAAAAACATGCAGTAAGATACCATTGTTTTTAATGCCTAGAAAACATGTATTTATGAAACACATTCTACTTCAGATTACAAAAGAAACAGGTGATAACTAAGAAGGAAAATTTTTGTCGAAATATCAAAAGTAAATGATTGGATATTTCTGAATGGATATTACAAATCATTGTTGGCAATGAAATCTTTCCATTTTATCGAGTTGACGAAATGATAATGTTAATAAAGAGTATGTTCAATATTCAGAGAAATTCTCCAGTACGAAATATTTCAGATAAGTTTCTGTAACAAAATCAAAAACGTATTGAATACGCCCAAAAACTCTATCTTATAGAGGAACACGTGCTGTAATATTATTGTGAACTCTTTTGTGGAAATGTAACAAAAAACAGTAACTTAGTTAAAATGTCTATCACAAATGACTCATATTTTACCCCTGCCTTTGTTTCTTCACAAACAAGTTGACTAGATATATTATTTCAAAGAGACACTTACTGCAAAACCCGTTTTGAGATCAATATTTGCAAATCCACCGGCACTGATCAGCATTTTCAGTTGAAATTTTCCCACCAATATTAGAACATCTTTTGAATATTGGGGATATTTGTACCACTTGCTGCAATAAATATTTTCTGATAACTTATCGACCTGTTGAAAAAGTTGTGAGAGTTTAATAAACTACTTGAAATGTATCGTCACTAACCTCATCTGCTAGATGTTGTGCGGGTAAGCAATAACATACGAAAAATTCAAAGAACATTGTTGTCGCATAAAGTATTGCTCTGATGCTTTCTTTTGCAGAACTCCTTAAAAATGAGAATTCAAATATATTCAGTTAAAATGAAATAATATTGCATTCACCCATAATGAATAATGATATTGTTAATCAAAGACAGGATGCCTGAGAGTAAAACAATGGGAAATTTCACGTATAGACTAAACCAGGGGTCTCCAAACTTTGAAGCCTTCGGGCCATAATGATTTTCTCAGTTTGTTCCAAGGGCCAATTTCTGCCCCCAACTATATTTCTAGACTAGGATAGTCGCAAAGTGCGTGACCTAAGCAAACTTACGATTTTTTGAATTTCGATTATTATTGTGTATTGTGACACTTAATGACATCTAGTGGCGAGTAGTGGTACTATGTACTATCTTTTTCAGCTACCCGCTAGGTGGCTTTAGGCGTAAATATTTGGAATTACCGCGTTGGTTCAAGAAAGTTCTGGGTTCCAGCTAGTGTATTCCGATCACCTCGAGATGGCAGTAATAATTGCATATAAAAAGGCTAGCGGCGCAACTGCGAGTTAGTCTGCGGAGAAAAGGCGAAGGAAGCGAAACTGTCTATTGTGAAATAAAGTAACACCCGTCAATAAAAGTATTTTGATTTGACTTATTGTTTTTATGTGTGATTTGTTAGTATGGAAAAAAAGCGAAAAATCGACCGTGAATGCAGAACGTTCCAAGAAAAATGGAACTTTCAGTATTTTGTGATTGAGTCCAGTAATAAGGCGCTGTGTTTAATTTGTAATGAAACCATAGCTGTTCTCAAAGACTAACATTAAACGACGCTATGAATCGAAACACCTTCAAAGTTACTCCAAGTATACAGAAAGTTTGCGGAAGGAAAAATTTGAAGCTTTGAAACGCGGACTCAAATTACAGCAATCTTTGTTAACCAAAGCGAATACTGAACAAGAGTCTGCAACTCGCGCCAGCTTTCGTGTGTTCCTTGAAATCGGAAAACGTGGCAAACCATTCACCGATGGAGAAATGATGAAAGAATGCTTGATGCAGTAGCCGAAGAAATATGCCCCGAAAAGGTAAATTTATTTAAAAGTGTTAGTTTGTCAGCAAACACCATAGCTCGGAGAGTGCAAGACATCGCAGAAAATATATCATCTCAACTGTCTGACAAAAATGGACATCATGAGTGGTTTTCTCTAGCATTGGATGAGTCAACGGATGTGTCAGATACTGCTCAGGTGTTGATTTTTAATCGCGGAGTAGAAAAATGCTTTGAAGTGCATCTTAAATCTCTTTTGATAATTGATAATAACTACAAAGTATTGTCGGTGGAAAATTACAATTACATAAATCTCATTAGGGTTTTTGTTTTACTGTGATTCATTTCAATTATTTGTTAGTTATTAATATGCTTAAACTTACATACTTAAGTTAAGTTTTCTTTGTCATCATTTCTGTCGTTAAGTAATTATCATTTTGTGTTTTCTTCTTCAACTTATCACAGCAATAGTAACAACAATTAGGTAATCATTGGCTGTCGCGGGCCAGATTGATGACAGTAAATCATTGGCTGTCGCGGGCCGGATTGATGACACTGGCGGGCCGGATTGATGACACTGGCGGGCCGGATTTGGCTCGCGGGGCGTAGTTTGGAGACCCCTGGACTAAACACTATAATAGTTAATTGTTCAACAAAGCTGAGAAGTGAGAGATCTACCGCCGCGGCTAGAAATTCATGAAATTAGCCAAGGCAGTAAATTTCTCTCTGCTGTGTGGAACATATTTTTTTTCTCGATTCCTCATATAGTGTGTTCAGAAAATCGAATTTTTTTATATAACAGATATAACTCATCATTTTTATTTTCTATTCTAATCGTATTTTATAGTTCATGAATTTAAATTGTCGAAAATTTTCTTAGAATCATTATTGATGTCGGTTGGACCGTATTAAATGAAACATGATAACGTTATATTGAATAAAAGTAATTATTGTACTCAAGTTATAACATTGTTGTAAATATTATTTTTTATTTTATTATATTTTACGCGGTTATTCTCCTTTTCACATATGAAATATAATACAGATACATACTTATAAACTAAATATAAAGTGAAAATGAACAAGTTGACAGTACTACAGTAATAGACGAACACTTATACTGATAATTTTTTTAAACTGGTTTTGAATCAATTTGATGTTTGTCTAGTAAATTCTAAAACTCTATATCAATATTCATTACCTACTCTAACGAAACATGACAAATTACTATGATAACCATAATTTGTGCGATGGTAGGAAACTTGGGATAACTCAGAGTTTTGAACTGTTTGGAACTCTTAAATAAATTGAATTAAGCAATGAAGAACAATCTATCTCCCCTACTAGTATCTTAAGGAGAGAAATCAAGTCAGATCTTGTTCTACTACCTTCTAATCTGGTAATATTCAAATTTTGCATAACTTGCATAAAATTGTATTCACCATATCGAAGATTTATGTTAAATGCTATACACCTCAGAAATTTTTTATGTACCTTCTCTATTCGATCGATGTGACTTCGATAATAGGGTGACCATACTGGTAACCGAATATATCAATGATAGATATAACGTTCTAAAAGCCATAACAGACCGTTTTATAGTATGCCTAGTAATGAAACCCAATAATTGAAAAGTTTTACTGATTACGCAGTCAATATGATGTGTACAATTTAATTGATGTTCAAATATGACTTCTAAATCGCGAATTCCAAAAACTTATTTAGGGCTATTTTCAATTTGATGATCGAATTGAATAGAATTATTGGACCTAGAAAAGGAAATACAATAGCACCTGTCAATATTGAGTGACATTCCATTATTTGTGACCAATTGATCAATGCGTTCAAATCAAATTGAAGGTTTTCACAGTCTATGTCGGAGTTGATTGGTATATGAATTTCGAGGTCATCAGCGAAGAGAAGGTATTTGAATTTGTGAAAGTTGAAAGCTATATCAACATTAAAAATATTAAAGAGAAGTGTCCCGCAGGGACACCAGATGTAACATGAATGTCACTGAAAATGCAGTTTTGAATTTTCACCAATTGTTTTCTATTCGATAAACATGTCAACCATGTTGGAAAACCTGTTTCTTAAAGTTTATTAATCAACAAACCGTGGTTCTTATTGATATACTAATGAATTTGATGTTGAAGTAGTGCAAAAGTAAAAATTCAAAAAGTTTTGGAATGGCTGAATGTCTGCTATTTGGTTCATAGTTTTTTATGTCGTCCTTTTTGCCACTCATGAAAATTGTCAGGAAAATATTCCAAGCTTCAATGAAAAATTGAGTATTATATACAATAGCACAATAAGTGAGTAAACACATTTTTTAAAGAAATAATCAGTTATCCCGTCTGGTCCACAACTCAAATTTTCTTTTAATGAATTCAACCCCTCGAATACTTACTCAATACTGAATATTATGAATGGAATATCAACTGCTAATGCCGGAGATTCGTTCGGTATATTATCTAAATCCAATCCTTCTTTAATACATATAAACCCATGAAAAATTTTCGGCAAAAAATTTACGATATTTTTCGCTGTATCAGCTATTTTGAATTGCTGATCATTTGGTCATCAATATTTGCTGTATAATTATCATAACAAAATTTCATAATATCTTGGCATTGAGATCTCAGATTGGAAAATATTAGATAATCTTGATCTAAACGAGTACAGTTATGAGTACTTTCAGCTCTTTGGTATACTATTTCGTATGAGTTGTTGGTTTACATTATTTCCTAGGAATGAAGTTTGCAAAAGAGTTTCCAATAATTTGATAAGTTTTCTCAACCATATTATGAATTTCTAGGTTATTGAATGGAAGTCTCCTGTTCATTAGTGCAAAATAATTATTTACACCTACATGGTCTGCATTCTTAAAATCATCGTAAAACTCTTCAAATAAAAGTAGTTTAAATTAAAATGAAAGTTCCAATTCGGCGATAATAGCTTTGTGATGGAAATTATTCGGTGATAGTAGGTCAGTGGCCTACTGAACCTGAACAAAACCAATTTGTGAAAAATCTAGATCTAGATATACATATTATGGTCACTGAACTTTTGGAACATCTTCAAGAAAACTGGTTAAAGGTGAGTTTACTTCCAATCCATATTTGTTTGTCATATGTATCCTTATTGATAAAAGAAATTCTATACAATATATGAGTATGTCCAAAACCTAAATCAATACTCACTGTGAAGTTAAGACGTACAATTCAATACATTGCGTTGGAATGATCACTCCCATGTATGCCAACATTCCTGCTGAAAATGTATTGTTCACTTGATCCCTGAAACTAATACCAAAGCGATTATATTTCTTTACCGGATTCGAGTTGAATCAATGGAGTTGAATAACAATTAAAAAATGATTTCATTTCCGGAATAAAATTGTATTGAAAACTTATAGTAATTTTGAATTGATATAACCATACGTAGATAATTGAATTATCATTTTATGTAAATCATGTTGATGATGTTGCCATTTCAACAGAAGTTCTAGGATAATCTATTCTTCTACAATATCTATAATGGATACGGATCACTCCCATGTATGCCAACATTCCTGCTGAAAATGTATTGTTCACTTGATCCCTGAAACTAATATCAAAGCGATTATATTTCTTTAGCGGATTCGAGTTGAATCAATGGAGTTGAATAACAATTCAAAAATGATTTCATTTCCGGAATGATATTGCATTGAAAACTTATAGTATCGAAGGATAATTTTGAATTGATATAACCATAGGTAGATAATTGAATTATCATTTTATGTAAATCATGTTGATGATGTTGCCATTTTAACAGAAGTTGTAGGATAATCTATTCTTCTACAATATCTATAATGGATACGGATATCATGAAACCCATAGGAAACTAGATGTTTGCAAAAATTGTATAAAAAATCGTTTTTTTACCTATGACCTTAGATATCAGTGCCAGCCACCCTACGATAAGTAGGTTTAGAGACAAATTCGAGAGTGTCCAAATCAAGGTTGATACGAATTTATAGCGGGCTATCTCCAATTCCGAAGTGAAACCCGTAATATGACTGAACTGGTATGTCTGTCCTATATCACGTAAGTTCGCGTTTGCCAATTCCTAGCATTATTCCAATGGACAGTTATATGGATTCAACTGTAGAATTTTCGAAACTGCGCGTTAATTGTGCATTGATAATCTCTAGAAAGCACATCTCAATATTATGATGGCAGAACAGAGTTACAATGATTATTCGTTGTTTAAAATAATCATTCAACAAGTTTTCTATTTGTTTTTTATTTTGATCAAACTAAAGGTTGAACACCCACGCAAATTCTGCTTCCATATACAAGAACTGCAAACCCTATAATGCCTAATTCTGTCTAACACGTTGGACTTTTACTTTAAGTAGAAGTAGAAACGGAGAAAAAATCCTAACAGGTTGTATTATGATTATAGCATAGTATGGATGTAACAATTAGTTGTTTTCAGACTTCAGAAAGCATTCACAAAACTAATATCATATGTCGATCTAAAAAATTTTCAGTTGCAAAATATATTCATTTGTGAAAACGTCATTCTATAAACAAAAGAGTTCCCAAAATGTGTGGTTTGAAATGTACTGGAATGAACTCTTATAATGGGCTTGTTTCATAGCAGGGGAGCCCACGATGCAAAATGGGGATTTACTCAAGCGTCATGGAGACATATTAGGTTGCAAAGCTTAGATGATAAGAAGAAAAAAATGTTATATAATATATACCTTTTCATCGGTGGGGGTAGCGGCTATAGGTTTTCAAATATGTAAAAAAATACTGTTGCATGGACATACTCGAGCGTGTCAGATATTGATAGCATGTCCTACGAATTTTTAATTCGCCATTTTGAAATACTCAAGCGCGTCAGATTGAGATATATATGGTTCATCTTTATGTTTTAGACGTGCTGTCTCATAATCTGACGATTATCTATTGGGATTCGCTCAATCTGACAAAAATATTTTTTTTTAAATTTTTTTCAATTCATTGGACTGAATTAACTGAAAAGCTCAAGAAATAGCATGCAAATAAATAAGTGTATGTTTTTCAAGTAGAATACTTGTATTTATAAGAAAATAATAAAGAAAATGCTCGAAAAACTTTAGTTTTTTATAATCAATTGATTAATTAATGAAGGAAAGAGAAATGAAACTGTCTATGTTTTTTACCACTTTTATTTGTAACTAATGTTACTGCAGTTTCGTCCTATAAGGACATTTTCAAACTTATATATTGTATATATACATTATATACGTTAGTAGTAACGGCTACATCCATCAATTGATTAATTATTCATCATCTTCATCTTCATCACGAACGAGTCTCTGTGATCAGCTGTGATGACGTCATGGCAACAGAATTCAGAGTGGGGACGGAGTGAGAGGGTAATAAATACAGAAAAAGTGAATAGAGAATAGAGGAATAGAAACTTGGAGAGAAATATAGGTATCACACAGCTGCACGCATTGAACTTTATCGGCGAATTTTTGTTATTTCGGCTTGCGGAAATCATCAGATTATATATTTTCCGTTATCCTTGAATTATTTCCTTCAAAATGAAAAAAATTTGCCACGCTCAAGAACGTCGAACTGGTGTTATTTTTTTATAACTTTGCTGCCATCCCTTTTTTTACGTCACTCTCAAATTGTCAGATAACTAAAATATACACTTTTTAGCAGGTGATTAACTCACCCTACCCTAATCTGACGCGCTCGAGAATTTCTGACGATCAATTTTTTTTTACGAGTTAGGGGTATACTTATCAAGCTAAATCGGTCCCAAAATCTCTTTATATTTGCAGAAAGAATAAAATTTCGAAAAGCAAAAATTTAAATTTGCCGCGTGTCTGTTGACCAATGAAATTGATCATATCTAGAGTGGAGTTGCCAAGTGTATTGGTTTTTGATATCCAATCACAGATCTGATTATCCAATTTGACAGACGCCATTTTTGTTGGTATTGTTGTCAACTCGGTGTGAATACAACTGTTACAATTATTTAAAGAACGTTTCTTTTTTGGAAAAGGAAGGTCTCGGCGGGTGCCTATTTTGTTGCATATTTCGTGTCATTAGTTTACATTCCGAAAAATATTTTTTCAGGTTATTTTTGAATTGAATTTGACCATTACTACCACCAAAATGGTTAAAATATGTTTTATACCTGGTTGTAAAAACATATCATCCATATCAGAAGAGAAGTTTTTTAGTTTTCCAAAAAACGAAACTAAGCGATCTGTAGTTTTCTCCAGTTGTCCGAGCTAAACTAAAAATTAAATCAAAACTTTCCATCCTTCGATAAAAAACAAAGTCTGGAATTAATGTCATATAAATAAAAGAGACCTACTAAATATACTACCTACCATTTCAATTTTTCATTCTTCATTTCGGTACCAAAGTATTGCAAATTTTTCAAGTAAAATTCATCGATCTTTTCAAAATCGACTCTTGGTAAGTTGTCGGAGTAAGCTTTAACAAAACTAGCCTCAACATTCATTTTATGGTTAATATACCAGTAACGTTGAATTTCTTATTTTTGGTGGGTGGCATGAATGCATAGTTGATTTATTTTATTAGGGTTCCTGAGCATTCGAAAACCATTTGAAAATACAGCTCGTTAAATTCTATTTAGAATCATATTTAGATATAACTTGTAAGCGATCTTATTATTGTATATTTATTATGTATATTAATGTATGTTAATATACATATTAATTAATGTATATTAATGAATAATTACAGAAAATTTTAATCGATTGTTCATTTTCTCAGGAAAATGAAGTACCCATATCATAATTTATTGGTTAATTCGGCATTGAAAGTGTATGCTATATCGGATCCATTCTGCTTGTTTTTGCAACATTGAGTTTCAAATTTTTCTTAGCTGACAGCTCACGTAGGAACAATTCGTTTTTTCATCGAGTTTAGTTTGTGTGTGTTTTAATAATGTTTTATAGAGATATATTTGAATATTAATATGGTGCATTCTTGTGCTGTTTTAATTGTGGGGAAAGGCACAAGAAAACAGAAAGCGCATTGGTTTATAGGTGAGTTATTTCATATAATGAGTTTAGGTTCCCAAAGGATTAAATGATGAGGAAAAAAACGGGTGAATGTATTGAAAAGAAAGAACTACAATCCTTCTACTCTTCCACGACTTTATATAAATCATTTAAGAAGTTACTATAAATGAAAGGAGAACGAAAATATTGAATTTGATGACACAGTTTTTTATTTCAATTTCAAGTATTCTCCACAGAAAGTATTATCTGGAGTTATTACTGGTGCTGAAAGTATGAAACGAAATTAATTAATATTTTGGCAAAAAAATCAAATACTTTTCATTTCACTTCATTAAATTTTATCATATGATCAATGGTGTACTTATGATGCACTGTTTGGAACCTTTGGTGTAGTAGTGAATATTACTGGAGTTTTTTCACAAGAGTTTCACACAGAGTCTTGCGCAAATTTACATTGAGAATAAACCTGTTGCTGTAAAGAGTTTTCAGTCAAGTGAAAGTTTTTTTGAGAATGCAATTTACATGAGATTTGAAACTGAGATCGTTGTCTATTATTAAACCCAAGCTTTTCGCCGATTCAACGGCCATTAATGGTACATCATTGATAGCAACTGCCAAATTTGTATGTATAAAATCGTATTGAGTTTTTGGTGACAAAACTAATATTTATGACTTGGACGAATTCAATTTCAAGTTATGAGGGGCACTTTTTTTTAAATATAAGTTCAAGATCATCGTTCAGCAAATTCTGTGCATCATTCAGGTTTCTTTAAGGAAAACTAATTAATAACTGCGTATCATCGGCATATGCCTGAACATTGCAAGCGATTATGGATTTTAGAATATCAGCGGTATAGATAATGAAAAATAGTGGACCGAGAATACTTCCTTGTGGTACTCCCGCTTTAATTTCAACGTAGCCAGAGTTTCTTTCATTTGATACTATCTTCTGTTTTCGATTCGTTAGATATGACTTAATCATTGCAAGTGAACTATCAGAAAAACCGTAATATTTGAATTTAGCATATGAGAGACTATGATTAATAGTATCAAATGCTTTAGAAAAATCTAGAAGTGTTAACACACTAATGTTTCTTGTATCCAAATTAGCAATCACTTTATCTAGAACCTGAATGAGAGAATTAGATGTACTCATTTTTTTCTGGAATCCAGTTTGACATGAGGGAATTAGTGAATTGATTCGAGCATATTCTAAAATTTGGGAAGACATAACTTTTTCTATCACTTTTGACAGGCATGTTAGAATACTTATAAATCGAAGGTTTGCTAGATTTGTTGTATTCGTCACTTTAGGCAGGGGGCGTCCTATCGCTATTTTCCATATATCAGGAAACTGATTTGTTTCTATGCAGTAATTAATGAGATGAACTATAAATGGATCAACGAAAGGGCTGCAGTACCTCAAGATGATTATAGATATATCATCTATACCGTATGCTGCACTTTTTATCTCATGAATCTGTTCAACGGTAGCCATTTTGAATTCAAATTTAGGTTTATTCTCCTGACAAGAATGACTATCATAGAATTGAATTGCTTCATTACAAGTTGAATCGTCAGTTTCCCCCCAACTTTGAGGAAAATAATTATTTATCACTTCAGGATCAGATAATTCTTCAGAAATTGTACTATTCTTACCTCTCACAACTTTGAAAGACCTCAAAGTATTCCAAACTCTCCTACTATCGTTGACTCTACAAAACCTATTCAAATATGCTCTTTTTTTTTATTTCTTATCGAGGAGAGGGTGAAGTTGCGCAATAGTTTATATCTTTCCCAGTCTTTATGGGTTCTTGTTCTTTTATACTTACTCAAAGCATTATTTCTTTGTGACATTGAAATTTTAATATTTTGAGTCATCCACGGAGCTTTTGGTTTAGTAACTCTAACCGTCTTTTTAGGTACATAGTAGTCGAATACATGAAATAAGAACCCATTGAATATTTCAATTTATCTATTGATATCATTTTCTGCTAAGAACTCGTGCCATGGTAACGTTTGTAGAGATTGAATGCATTCTATCGCATTGAAATCAGCATAATCCCTAAATGTAACAAATTTGACATTAGTTTGTTGTATTCCAAAAGCAAGTTCACAAAAAACTAATTTTTGATCTGATATTGAATCAGCATTAACTGTTCCTGCCTCCGATACCATATTTTTATCACAAATAAAGATGTTATCAAGAGTTGTGCATGCCCTACCGTCAATTCTCGTTGGTTCGTTTATCAACTGGGTAAAGTTCAAAAAGTTGAAACAATCTGTAATAGGATTTTCTATACGACTCAAATCATGGTTGAAGTGCCCAACACAAATTCCATGGTCGGTAGCTGGAATAAAATCAGTTAACAAAGTCTATAGGTAATTGAATTATTTTTAGGTGGTCTATATATAATGCCCAAAATGAAATTGGTTTTGATTATCAACTTCATTAGCAGATATACTAATAGTGATATGTTTAATGAGCAAAATATACTCCATACTGGGTCCAGCAAAATCAATATGCGATGGGAGAGAAGAATTTAAAAAAAATGACCGTCAATGTCTGAGCTAGTATCGTTGGGAACAGAATAGCAGAATTTCATTCGTATAGGTTATTCAGAGACCCGATGCTATACAGGTTTTCATTCTACTCTTACTCTCGATGTATCAGTACATTCAGTTGTAGGTGTGTTGGTTAAAAAATTATTGCGAGCAAGCTGTCGCCTCCAAAAATCTGGGTTTGTTAATGCTCGCAACAGCTGCAAACTTAAGATAATTGAAAACAGAAAACTTCACAATCAGAGAAATATGGATAAACTGCTTGCCAATCCCAAAGGGTCTAGATCTTTCTGGTCGGTAGATAAAGCTGTTAATCAGAACGTTACAAAATCCACAATTACACCACTAATACAACCGGATGGTTCAATTTGCGTCCCACTCCGCAGTCGATTTTTTGGAAAAAGCACCACCTACTATTCCCACACTAGAATCCACAATATCAAAAATTACTTTTAGACAGAGTCTAGTCAGGCTAATTTTGAAACAGCTCAATATTAACAAGACGTTTGTTCCTGATGAAGTGCCCGTCATCGTACTTAACAAGTAGGCAAATTAACTCCACCAGTATTTTGCAGACTTTTCAACCTGTATTACAAAAAAAGGGCTTTTCCTTCTTGTTGGAAAATTGCTCGCGTTCAGACAATTCCCAAAAAGGGCAAGAAAACTCTTCCAAATAACCATAGACCAATCACTTTGCTATCTGTGATATCAAATATCATGGAGGAAGCCGTAAAGCACTATATCCTCAAATATGGAAGGCTTCAACATCGTGAGCGATCATCAATATGGCTTTCGGAAACAGAAATCAACAGGCGACGTTCTATTGTATGTCACCCATATTTGGAATCACGCAATCGAGAAACATGGAGAGTCGAGAGCTGTTGCGCTTATGATATTTCTAAGACCTTTGACCGTGTGGGGCATTAGGGTTTGCTGGCCAAACTTCGCTGTTATGGCTGGTCGGATCATTTTTGTGTATGGCTTGTCAGCTTCCTGAAAGAACGTTTCCTGCAAGTTGTCGTCAATGGATATCTTTTGAATACCATCAACGCCCTCTTTTTATTGTATATCAATGACTTATTGAAAAAAACAAGAATCCAATTTATTGTTTTGCTGACGACAGCACACTTGTCTCGTCATTACATTTAGATCCCAGGACATCGGCTGCGGATGCACATCTTCACCAGCAGCAGGAGATTGAATATATTAATGAGGATCTAGAAGTGATTTCCAATAGGTGTGAAAGTAACCAGGTTCAATTCAATGCCACAACAAAAAAATTGACACCAATATGTCTTGGCACAATCATGTAGCTGTATTGCCAAGGCTGCTTCTCAAAAGCTGGTTCCGAACCAGACAACTGTACACACCTCAGCAACTTTCGATGCTTTATAAAGCTCAGATCGGACCTTCTACTTTGGAGTATTGTTCTCATGTATGGAGCTCCACATCCAAGCATACCATGAAGCTGCTGCTGGATTCTATCCAGAAAAGAGCCATCTGCCTGATTGGAAATGCGAACATCACTTGCAACTTTGATAGTCTGGAACATCCGAAAAAGGTAGCAAATTTGTCTCTTCTCGACATCTAGTCGAGAAATTAGATTTTTTTCACACAAGTATCTGTTGAAATCTGTTTTAATGTTGATCAACTATCGCCCCTCTACGAACGACAATTCTCAAAGATCTAAACCTTATCATTTGAAATTGTTATTAGGATCGACACTCTGTAATTTAATGTACTCGTATACATGAACGGCTTGTATTAACTGGGTTCAGAAGATAATATTGTCTGTCATTGTAGATGATGCAGATGATGCTGTCATTAGGTATGTATAAAAGGGATATTTGAGAAGATGTCAAACTCAAAACTTTTTTAAACTAAATGATCAGTATATATTGGTGAATACTGATTAACGGAAAAACAGATTTTGAAAAGATTTTTTTTAAACAGATTTACTGATCGTATACTAATAATTAAAAGACGCAATACTGAATACGAAATGAGAAAGATACACTACCTAAAATAAACCTGAAACGAAACAAGCATATCAAACATATCGCGAAAAAAATCAGGTCTCTTTAGAATAAATAACAAAATTTTCAGCAAAATGTTTAGTATATCCCAGATCAGGACTCTCTACTTGAGCATTGATCAGCCTCATATAAATCACGGAATTATTATTGTTTGGGGAGGAGTTACTGATAACTATCTCAGTACGCTAGAAATCACTCAAAAATGGCTCATTAAAACTATCCAGAAAGAAGACTTCCCGTTTTCATCTAAACAACTTTTTGCAGAATGAAAATGTTTCACCTACAAGCGAATAGACAAAAGAGAAATCTCATTTCAAACATAAAAACCAATGTGTAAAATTGCTGGAAGGACGAAATCATAAGTGAAAATGTATCTTTTCTCTAATATTTTGATGCCTCTTTACACCATATTTGCACGATGAATAAGATACTTTTGTATATCAATAAATTTTTTTTGTTTTTTTAGATGCCTTAATTTTCATTCGTCTGTACATGTATCATTTAATTCATTTTTATGTTCTTTTATAGTATTCTTTTGCTATTAATTCAAAATTGAAGATTAATTTTAAAAAGTAGCCACATAATGAATGATAAGGAAGATGTAATTTTTTTTGTAAGCTTCTACAATGAAAGAAACGACTACTATATCTTCAATGATATACACTGGACCGAATCGTTTCCTTTTGAATAACTTTGTTTGTATTTGTCATTGTTGTAGTTTAATTTATCACTCCAAGCACAAGGTTTTTACCTTTTATGGGATCGCGATATTCATTCAATTTACTGGCGTATGTACTGTAACTTGCTCATTTGATGTGAAACAATATTATTATTAACATAATTATCACTGTTTGATCAATCCATAATAAGCAATAACCCTTCCTTGTATATGAAGTATTTTCACTATGATTTGTTCTCTAGTGAAGAGAAATATTTATTCAATCATGAACAAATGTCCATGCCAATATTGAAGGTTTTTTCATTTTCGAGCCAAATAAAACTGAACATTGAGATTTCATTGTGAACCATTCTCATTTTTCATACCACTTATTTTTTCTCAAACATTTTCCTTAGGAAATGACCTTTCCTGGCGCATCAAAGTGCATTTGTATATCAATAGTAATAATAATTTACTTACCCCATCAAAAAAGTATGATGATCATTATATTTCTTCAGTCTCATCTTGATACTGCAATAATCTTCACATGAGTTCGGCATGTCTTCAAAAATTTTTACTATAGCCCTATTGAGTACTTCAAACTGAATAGCCATTAGTGTGATTATTGTTAATATAAGAATATCCATGGCAAACATGGAAATAACTAATAAGAAAGCAATTAAACATTGATAGACAAATAAAACTTCGAATGGAACACACTCAGGTATGTAAGCCTCGAATGGCAAATTATTTCCAATACGTCTCTTGTCAATTAGAAACCTTCCGATACAAAAATTAATACTGGAAATTGTAGTCATTATAAGAAATATATGATACTTATTTTTGACACTTTCTAGAGATGCCTTAAAACTCAACTTTTCAATTGAGTCTTCGATATCGTCAATTTTCCAGAAGTTTTCGTTCATGCTATCCAATATATGAAGAAGATTTGAACGTTTCCGATAGAGGATTATGATTTTGAAAATAGCCTGAAACAAAACATCAATTAAAGGAAATTATATTTTTGAAGCAGTCAATTCGTCATCGCCTCTTTTGTACTACTCACTTCTTGGAGTAATTATTGTTAACAATGTTACAGAGAATATATGTTGTTTCAAAAATTTTGACTCTAAATCAACATGGGCTGAAAAGTATCGGGCCTGAGAAAGAAAACGCGTTTTTCTTCAAAATTGGCTTTATTCATCAATTTTTTCATTAGTCAGTGGGCTATGCTTGAAGACTGGCAGTGAACAAATCTGAAGAAATGAACTTTAAATGTTCAAGCCAGTCTCGAATATACCTATACAGTAGGTTGAATGGACTGACTCCTATCAGAAAACAACTACTCTACTGGCTAATACCATGAACGGCATTGGATTATATCCGACAGGCGTCGGTGCAGGAATTTCCACAGAAAATTTCCTGCATATGCAATTGGCAATACAACTGAATGAGTCGACCTGAGTATTCTCTGAGTATACTCTGAAAAAATTTCCATTTTCAATTATGGAATATCATTGACTTCAGGTCGATGATGGTCACTATCTTGCACAGATGAGTGGCTAAGGAGCCCGAAACCAGTCTGCAAGTGTGCCCGTTCCAAAGTTGAAGGTTCATTTCTTTAGATTTATTTATCAACGTTATTTTGGGGTCTACGAACAGCTCGTAGTCGCTGAGATCCGAATCTGGCGATTACGATGGATGTGGGAGCATATCGAGGTTCAATTCATGTAGGTTTGCCATTGGTATGATTGTCTCGTGACACGTAGTCTTGATGAAACCAAATTTTTTTCTTTGCCATATGCCGTTTTGTTTCTTGGCAATTTCGGCCTTCATACGCTCCAATAACGCTATATAATAGTCACTGTTGATGGTATTCACCTTCTTGAAGTAGTCGATGGATATTACACCACGCACATCCCAAAATACCGTGTCCATAACATTTTCAGCCAATTGTTGTGGTTTCGGGTTTTTTGGACGAGGTTCACCAGGTACTCACCACTGAGATGACTACCGTTTTGATCACGGAGTGCAGTGATGGATTCAAGTTTCATCCATTGTTACATATCGACAAAAAATTCCGGTTTGTTTTGTTTGAACATGACCAAACACTACTCAAAATCAACAAAACGTTCTGGTTTTCGGTCAACAGTGAGCTCGCGTGGCACCCACTTTGAACAGGGCTTTCTCATATTCAAATGCTCATGCATTATAAAGCCAACACGTTCTTTTGATATCTCCACAATGTCAGCTAACTCACACAACTTCACTTTTCGATCATTCAAAACGATTTTATGTTTTTTTTTATGTTTTCGGGTGTTACTGCCTCATTTGGACGTCCACTGCGTTCTGCATAATCGGTGTTTCCACGACCACATTTGAAGTCAGCAAATCAACGTTTTAAAGGCATTACATTGTTCAAACGGTATTTTTTCCCATCAAGAAGCAGTGTGAAATTACAACACGAAACTGTTTTTGATCCATTGTTTTGAAAATAACGAAAAATAGTATCACTCTTAGCACAATAACTCACAAACTTGTAAGCAGAATGATGAAATTTCAACATTTTCTTTTGAAGTACTATATGTTAGCTCTGAGACTTTTCAGTCAGCGTATCTTCATGAGATTTCTTTAATGTTTTGTATGGGTTGGTTGGAATATGATTAATGTTATCCGGGAAAGGTCAGTGCAAGACACAGCAAAGAACGCTACCTAATTCTTTTGAGATATAACACTATACCTAAGTATATTGTTTTTATAGGTATACAAAATGTCAGCGATGATGTATCTCTAGCTTACTGTATCCATTTAAATGTTCAAAATGAAGGTCACATATATGTTGTTTTCTAGCAACTGTATGCCTAGGCTAGTAGGCTAGGCTGGTCGGTCGGTAGCCAAGCGGTTCGGCGTGGGTGCTTTGTACACTCACTCGAATTGACTGCCGTGTTGGTCGGTGGTTCAAGCCCTAGTCTGAACGATCGATCTTCACTTGCTATCGTGCAACCCGTGTTAGGAATCACACGTTAAAAGGTAAGACCTCTTTAATCCTTAGCTCGCACAAGTTTCTGGATGCCGTTCATTAAAAATGTTAGCTACTTGCCGGTGTGGTGTATTCTCACCACATAATAAAACTATTTCTATTCTTTCCTCTAGAGACAACATTATTGCAACAATAACTGTTAAAAATTTCACAAGTAAATCAACAACTTGACACCACCATAGCATGCATTTTGTTTGTCAAGACCTACTTAAAAATTGTATTCAACGTGATTAAGCATCCTTACCGCCCTAGTTAGTGTTTATAAATAATCTGTAAATACTGAATATTGAAATTTTTATGTAATTTCAACTCTAGTAATTTCATTAATACTTATTGCAGTTTTTGAATTGTGTCTGCTTTTTCAAAATTGAAGGTACTGACGTTTGTTTTGGAAAATAGCCAAGTGATTGAAACTTTGCACCAGTCATGTTAAAATTTTTATAGCACATTTTTAATTTCTCTCTAAAAATGTCTGTATAAGTAAAAATTTATCAGAAAAGTTAAACTCCATGAAGAGTTTGTTATGTATACATGAATTGATGACAATTAACCGAACTTGTTTTTTAAAATAAAGGGGATATCTGTCAAAAATAAGCAAAATGTTAACGTTATCCTAGTTGCATAAAATTTGGCATATGGATATAAAATTGCCGTAGACACAACTTTTTCAAGTAACTTTTTGTTAAATTCGATCTAGAAATGCACTTTTTCAATTTTTCCAAAAAAAAAGTTTAATTCGACAAACACTGAACGTCATTGGGTCGCAGTTGGCCGCATCATTTTGAATTAAATTTGAAGCACAAACAAGTGCCGAAGTTAAACTTCATTGAAACTTTCCAAAAAAAAAATTCCCATATGGTGCGCACTTTAATGGTGACACTATATAATACATAAATATGAAAGTTATTGAGTGTCGTGATATAGAAACAGAAGTTAATATCGGACATAGCACTCATGTGATTTTGATAGTTTTCTTGTGAACACGAGATCTATCAACTGAAACCACAAATGTGCGGTTGGCTCCTGTTGGTGGCTCCGTGCATTTGTATTTAATAAAATTCTTGCAAACTTTTCACTGTTCATTGACAGTCCTAATTATATTCTCATCTGTAGAGGTGAGAATTATTGGGTTTATGGTTCTGTGGTCGGCCCAAGTTCTACATTTCGTTGTATCATGAAGTTTTCCAGTCATCATTCGAATAGGGTATCTAATTCTCTACTGCCTTGATTTCCCCATTGTGAAAAATTATCTTCTAAATATTCGTCCAGGGTGCAAGTATAACACTCGTATAACTTTTCACCCTAGAATGACTTTTTCAGTCTCCCACAATCCAAAGAGCATAATTTTCTTGCGAAATGAAATTCACTGATGCATTTATATTCTAAATGTACTGCCCCAAACAAACTTTTTGGGGTTGATGGATCCCTGGGCAAACATATCAAAATCTTGTCTGTAATGTCGCTGTTGTTTATGCAAATGAGCACTATACACTATTTCATAATCATTTAGTAATTAATATGAACTGAAAACGAAATGAAGCAAATAAGGAACCAATAACACAATCTAGATGAGGTTAGGTCGTCAACATGTAAATGAATTATTTTTAATGAACATTGTTGCCATATCTTGTTTTTAGTTGTTATCATGAAACAATGAGTTTAAAAATTAATTTTCTAATAATTTCGACCGATAATGATCTGAAGTAAACATTCATTTTTCATGAGACTGAAAACGGTATGGAACTGATAACGTTGGAATTCAGTACCACAAAAAATATATAAATATCATTGATCTACACCCGAAGACGCCACACTCCGGTGCTAAAACGAGACGTTCAAAATTCTTGATTGAAAAATTAAATTTCATAGGGTCAGAATTAGTTCACTAAGATTCTTTCCAAAGTAATTTTTAGTATAACTCAGCATTTTGAAGTCAATCATTTTTTACTTTGAGAAAGAACTGCAAAATTTGATAAGTAGGACGGGAAATGCCCATTTCACTACGTTGTTTTGTTGTATCACAGATATATTAGGCGAGTACCTTCAACAGTTTAAAATCTGTTTTTCCGTTTGTCAGCTGTCACCCCCATACGAACGACAACTCTCAGAAGTTGAGAAACTTGTGCGAGCTAAGGACTAACGAGGATTTACCTTTTAACATGTGATTCCTAACACGGTTGCAGAACCATTCCAGCTTCAACCAGATGAATTCTCTCAAGAAAAATATCTGGTCGAGGCGGGAATCGAGCCCACGGTCTTCCGATCGTGAGTCGGGCGCACTACCACCGCGGCCAATTCCACAACATCGTCAATTCCAGTCATCGTAATTTTTCACCAGCTTACAAAAAACATCAATTGATTACACACATTCACCTTATTCTTAAATCTCTAATACGTAGTGCTTATGTTCAAAAAATATCAACAGAAATATATAATTCTGTATGATAAAAAATTAAATGAATAAACGACATTCCTATAAACTCTATTTGTACTTACATGCACAAATAAACAGATGGAAGTAACCGCTTTACTTATATCAGTCATAGAAATTTTATCCTTTTCAAAACATAGAGCTAGTATCACCAAACAACCCAAGAAGCACATACTAATTATTGGAAAAATACAGAAAATGAATTGACATTTGTATTTATTCACATCTGGATGAACTCCAACACAAATCATCATTTTCAAACAGTGATCGATATTGTGAAAGTACATTTTGCCAAAAATGTAATGTGGATGACCGAGTGACTACAACACAATTTATACCTCAACAACTCCTATTGATTCGAATTCATCTCAGTAACAATTAAAA